ACACACACACACACACACACACACACACACACACAAAATTAAAAAAAAAAAGAAAAATAAATTGTCCCTGGATCTCTAAAAGGTAGTGCTTTAAAGCTGCAGCATTTCAACTGTATCTGTCTCTCCTTGCCTACAATTTAGTCTGTCTGCTCAAAACACAATTGTGAGGCTTTTTCCTGGAGTGAGGGTTGGACAGAGTTGAGCTCTGCTTGCAATTCACTAACTATTCCAAAGCCTGTAAACAGGGCACAAGGCTGCCCCGTCCCCATCTTTCCAGCAGTGGTGGGGCGCTAAACTTCCTTCCAGCTGTGGCTTCCAAATCCTTCCCTAGAGTGATGTAGAACTCTGGAGCCTGTCTGTTCTGGAGGGACCCTGCAGGGTTCTTTGCAGGGTTCTTTACAGGCTTTAGACTTGGGCCTCTCTAGAATAACCTCCCCTGTAGAATCACTCAGAAATGGAGTTGGTACCTACTGGCTCTAGATAATCCATGAATTTCTTCAGTCCTCTGAAGACCCAGGGGGAAAATAACACCTTGTTTAAAAAAGATGGTCAACTCTAGAAGGAAGGCAGCCACCCAGAAGTCCTAGGGATATGGGCAGGAAAGAGTAGATGGGCACTATAAGCTTCTTTTGACATTGCCAGCCACCAGGAAAATGAGTTCCAACCGGGCATGGTGGCCCATACTTTAATCCCATCACTTGGGAGGCTGAGGCAGGAGGATCACTTTGAGTTTGAGAAAAGTCAAGGATACAAAGTGAATTCAAGGCCAGGCTGAAGAAGAAGAGGAAGAAGGAGCAGGAGGAAGAGAAGAAGAAAAAGAAGAGGTTCCACTGGTTCTAGAGTATCTAGCAGTTCCAGAAAGCTCCGCCTTCTAAGTCTGGCCAGCTAGAATCACGCTAGATATGGGGGCCTACCTGATCCACGACCACCCCATTTGTTTATCCAAGTCTCCAGAGAATGGCTTTAGAAGGATCCGATTTATATGTAAAGTCTCCCTAAGTGCCACCACCCAGTCCACATGTTGGAGGCCTGGAGTGGAGACAGGTCGGCACTGATGCCCACCCACTCTGGCAGGAAGGCCGCCTCAGGCTTGAAGATATTCAGGAACTCAGAGTCTGGCAGCGTGAAGTTGGCCAGGTAGAGGGTGTCTCCGCCAGCCAGGTAAGCAGCCCAGAAGCCAAAGGTGCCAATGGTCATGATGGTGTGGTTGCACTGCACGAGCAGGGCGAAGTCCTTCCCAGGGGTGCCCTCCTGCCCGTCGCCTGCAAAGACCACGTCACCCTTGGAGGTGTCTATGTTTTCCCTGCACCACTTCATGCCATTGCTGATGACCACGAAGATGGGGTCCTCATGCCGGGCCCGGAACCAGTCCATGGCCTTCTGGAGGTAAGCCCGGTCACCTATCACACCCTTCCAATGCTGGGGCATCAGGTGGACATAGTCCCCGCGGCGCACATGGACCCCCACAAAGGTGCGCGGCGGGGACCCTGCATAGCCCAGGCGCAGCTCTCTCAGGAAACCCTGGGCCTCCTCCCGCAGGTGGTCATGAAGAGTGAATTCACTACGGATGCGTTCCCGGAGATGGTGGAAGAAAGTCCAAGAGCAGGGAAAGCCAGAGAGCTTCAAATAGGGGTCCTCCAAGCGGGAATACTCCTCGGACATCCAGTCGTGCAGCTGCAGTTTCTGCCACGGCGTGTGGCTGTCCACCTCGGGAGCCAGCACGGGCAAGGTGATCCGAAACACTGGGGCCAGCGCCGCGTGCATGGCGGGGAGGATGAAGGCGCGGCGGCGGTTGAGCTGGGCCAGCGCAAGCAGCGTGGCGTACTGCCCCATCTGATTCCCGAAGCGACCATCGGGGTAGATAGTCCAGGTGCCCGAGAGGGAGGCTTGGTGCTGGGGACAGGAAGAAGAGTTGGCGCCCTGAAGGCGTAAGATGGCCACTGGGGATGCCCGCAAGTGTCGGTCCCGACACAGGGCAGCTAGGCCAAGGCCATTTTGGAAGATGTGGAGGTAGAGGAAAAAAGATATCCCTGAGAGGACGCAGATGAGCAGGAAGCCCAGGCAGAGCTGGCGGGGGCTGGCCCACATGGCTGCAGAAAGCAGAGGCAGCGCAGGGGTGCTTGTGCCCGAGGAGGTGCAGGCTCCGGGCGGCGCGGCCCGGGAGCCCAGGTCGGAGGGACGAGCAGCTCGGAGTGCTCGGGCCGCGGAGAGATTCCAGGCGTCCAAGCTAGCAGTGTGCAGGTCCCCGGGCCTCGGGGGCTTCTCCGCTCTCCTCCGGTAACAAGACGGGCCACCACCCTTTTCTTAGGTGTGCCCGCCTGTAAGATGGCAAGAAGTAACCAAGCGAATGGAACAGGAAAGTCCCGAGGAGGATCTTGTGCTCTGGGGACCTGGAGCAGAGATGCAGGTTCCCCGACACCCGGGACTCGGCCTCCGGCCTCCACGGGGCTACTCACCCGATCGCGGGCCGGTGGCGGCAGGTCCCGAGTCGGCTTAGCGCAGGTCACCTCAGCCCCACGTCCCGGACCCCGCGGTGCCGGGCCTGCGGCGCTGGCCTCCAGGCGGGCCCACGATTGCAGCGAGGGGCGTGGAGCGCACAGGGGACAAGCAGGGGCGCAGCCCCCGCCCCCGCACGCCGGGCAGGTAGCAGGGAGCCCCGCCCTTCTCTGGCCCAGAGCCTGAAGTCCCTGGTTAGGGCTGCACCCCGGCCCACTCGCCCGGTTCTGCTGGGTGCCCCGCCCGGCCGTGGTACCCACAAGGCTCCATCCACCAGGGCGAAAACCGCATACACGCTCGGGCGCTGCGTCGGGCCCTTCTGGTCCCCAAGGGGGACATCAGCGCCGCTTCCGCGCCCTCCCTGGGGGACGAGAGCCTGTTTGCCAGGGTTCTGCAGGACCCGCTCGCCAGGGCCAGGGTTCCTAGGTCTCCTCGTGCGCTCCGTCCACATTCAAGTCCCACAACAACGGTACCTGGCCCCTCCTTTTTTGGCACCGGCACCCCATTGCTACTTTCTGGAATAAAAGGAGAAAGGCGACAATCAGAAGGAAGGACACTTTGGAGCGTACAAGGGCTTCCTTCTTGCCCAGCAGAACGTTTCTGCTGTTCAGGATCGGAGGGAAAAGGCGAATTTCACTCGACTCCCCAAAGATCAGACCATGTTTCCTCCAGGATCCGATTCCCAGGCGCTCCTCCCTCAGACCCTGCAGGGCCTCTGGTAGTTGTCTGGCCTCTTCCCTGCAGTCCCCACTCCACCCCAGAGGCAGCTCAGTTGGAATTGCTCTCCCTCCTCTTTCTTTCTTCACCTGCTATTCGGGAGCATCTGTCTGGGTCCAGGAAGTCAATCTGGTGAAAGAAACGCCAGGATTGCATCAGGAGGAGGAGGAGGCCAGGGAGGAGCTGGATCTAAACATCTAAGCAAGGTCTGGGGAGGTTGGGGTCAGCTAGGGCCGGAGGGAGCATTCCTGATCCTCATACCAGCTGCTGACTTCTTTAATGAGGCAGGTGAAGCGCTCCTCACTTTAAGAGTCAGACCCTCCATTCGGCAGAAAGTAGAAATTCAAACGGGTCAAAAAATCTACTTGTAGAATAAAACAAGCATCTGTCACCAAGAGAGGGTGTTTCTAGAATCCCTAACCTTCCAGGCAGACACAGACCTGGGGGTTGGGGTGCAACCTCCTCCCTCAGATACTAGTGTCCCAGGACAAGGCCTCTGTCTCTGAGACCGAGGAATCTGAGACCCCAGATCCTCCTCCCCCTGGCCCTGGAAGGAGTACATCTATCCCTTTCATTCCAGGTCCAATGAATCAGGCTCTGTCTTCCTCATCCTGTAGACCCTGGCTTGCAGGCCCCTAGGCTGACCCCCCTCCCCCATTGCATCATCTCTCCAGCCTACCCTGGCCACGGTGGAATTCTGACTCCTGCCAAATGGGTCAAATATCACCAGTCAGGAGGGCGTGTGGGCGGGGTGTCTGGCTATAAACATTGGAGCACCCGTATAAGTTTTGGACACCAGAGTTTGGGTGTCCTAGCAGCTGGAGTCCACAAGCAGGAAGACCTGAGACATTGGCTGTCAGAGCCACAGCAGGAATCCACTCTTGTGAATGCGTGGGACCTGGGCCACATCCCACACCGCTCTGTTCCTCCAACCTCACACCCCGGACCCCACCAACGACCTGCACATTGATGGACTGGGCCAGAACCAAGTCTGAGCGCCCAGGGCTGTGGGTCTCCGCACTGGCTGTCCTTCTGCTGGGAGCCTGCCAGGCGCACCCCATCCCTGACTCCAGCCCCCTCCTCCAGTATGGGGGCCAGGTCCGGCAGCGACACCTCTACACAGACGATGCCCAAGACACAGAAGCGCATCTAGAGATCAGGGCTGATGGCTCAGTATGGGGGGCTGCCCACCGGAGCCCTGAAAGTGAGTGTGGGGGCCCAGTAGCCCCAGCTGGAGCAGGAGGGTAGGTGGGAGTGCTCAAAGTCTTACCACTTTCTCCCCCAGGTCTCCTGGAGTTAAAAGCCTTGAAGCCAGGAGTCATTCAGATTTTGGGGGTCAAGACCTCCAGGTTCCTGTGCCAGACGCCCGATGGGACTCTGTATGGATCGGTGAGTTTCCAGACCCCACTTCTCCTGCCCTTATCTTATAATGCCAGGCTGGGCCTTCATGATCATCAGCCAGCCTTGATGTCCGTGGTGTCTGCTTTTAACCTCCCCGCAACCCTTCTGGGCCAGCAGTTGTTACTAGTGTTTGAGGAAACTGAGGCCCAGACAGAGCAAACACAAGGGCAAGGCAGGACATGTGTGGACAGCAGAGCAGCCGAGAGTCGGGGCTGTGCCCCTGATCCTGACCACGCAGCCTCCTCTGTCTGGCTCATCCTGGGGCACTCTAGGAACTGTGGCTGGGAGCCACCACGACCTCAGGTGTGAGCTGACCCCACTGCCTGCCCTGGGGAAGCCTTGACATTTACCTGGGCTAGAACATTCTAGACCAGGGGCCGTACAGGCGGCTTCGCTATGACAGGGATAAAGGAGGAATTGGTTCTTGGTACCTGGTTTCCTGGATGGGGTTGGGGCCTGGACCTCCAGGTCTGAGACATGAGGCCCACACTGTGGCCTCCTAAGGTCTCAGACCACCAGGTCTGAGGAGGAGCCCCTGAGTCGTAGAGGAACTTTGGGGCTCCAACCCTTGTTCTCTCTCCCCACAGCTCCTCTTTGACCCCAAGGCCTGCAGCTTCCGGGAGCTGCTGCTTGCTGATGGCTACAATGTCTACCAGTCCGAAGCTCACGGCCTCCCACTGCGTCTCCCCAGTGACTCCCCATCCAGGGATCCAGCACCCCCAGGACCGGCCCGCTTTCTGCCGCTGCCAGGCCTGCCCCCAGCACACCCAGAGCCGCCAGGGATGCTGCCCCCCGAGCCCCCAGATGTGGGTTCCTCGGACCCTTTGAACATGGTGGGGCCTCTACAGGGCCAAAGCCCCAGCTATGCTTCCTAAAGCCGGGGCTGTTAATTTAGCCTCTTATTTATTGGGGTATTTATCTTATTTATTTTTCTATTTTTCTTACTTGGGATAATAAAGACTGACAGAGAAGATCTAAAGAGTGTGTGTCAGTGCTGGAAGGAGGGCTGGGCCCTGTGCCCTGTGTCCACTTGATCCTGTGACCCTGCCACCCCAACCCCCACCCTGTGGCCTCCTGAGGGCCCAGCTTTCCACTGGGCACCATCTTCCTACTCCCACAGATGTCCCCAGGGTCTGCAGGACAATTCCTGATCTTTGATCTTTAAAGAAACAAGATGTTTTCTCAGGTGAATGGATACAGTGGTTTGTTTTGCTACACTATTGGGAATGGAACCCAAGGCCTCTTGTATGCCAGCCAAACACCTATGACTAAGCTACATCCCCAGCCTTTCACATTGTTTTAAATTTTGAGACAGGTTGCCACCAAGTTGCCCGGGCTGGCCTCCAGCTTGTGATCCTCCTGGTCCTGAAGTAACTTGGGTCACAGGAGCGTACCACCACACCTGGTGGGTCAGGACTTCTTATGCACCCCACCCCATCCTTGTGGTACTGCTGCTCAGAGGTGCCTCAGTAATGGGGGACAGCCAGGCGTGGCGGCGTACATCTGTAATCCCAGCACTCAGAAGACTGAGGCAGGAGGATCGCTGTGAGTTTGAGACCAGCCTGGGCTACAAAGTGAGGTCAAGGCCAGCCTGAACTGCATAGCAAGACCCTGCCTCAGAAAGATAAAAAATGAAAAATAAAAAAATAATGGAGGACTTACAGCCCCGTAGTCTCATGGGAGATGTAGTTGTCTGGGGGTCATGGAAGAAGGAGATATCTTGGCCCGCAGAGCTTAAGCAAAGGGTCTTGAGTGTGGGTCTGCTACAAAGGTGGTACTCAAGTCCTTTGGGATCATAGGCTGGAAATCTAGAGGTAGGGTACTCGGAGAAGAAGAGGGAAGGGACCTAACCCTGTGGTCTAAAGGAGGGGGGCTGGAGGAAGGGAGGCGGTGGTCTCAGGACCAAGGTCAGAATTCCTCTCCCTGGGACCTTAGGAACTTCAGAGTGTGCCCAGCTCTGGAGAGCTGGTCGATCGGCCTCCCTCCCTCTCCACAACCGAGCCTTTCATGTTGGTCAAGTCATTTCGGAAAGGTCAAACCTGCATGGCCGAACCCACGTAGTAATGGACCAAACACGCTGACACGAGCGAAGCAGGTTTACTGGAAGCGCATGTGAGGGCTGTCTCACGTACCAAGACAGCATCGGACAAAGGGGGGCAGGAGATTTTATAGGATCTTTCAGGGAGGGTAATCATGGACTGGAACAGCGAGGTAACAGCCGGGTCACGGGTTTCAGAGAGCATGATTAGGGGCTGGAACAGCCAGATCTCAGGTGGACATCATTTATCTTTTTTTTTTTTTTTTCCCCCTTTTTAATTTTGTTTACTGCAGAAGGGACTGAGTTGAGACCGACATGGGTCAAGGGAAAGTGAGCCGAGACCAGAGCACAGTGTGGGGCAGGGTTGGGATTGCGGTTGGCGTAGATTACCTAGGAAGCTGAGGGAGGGAATGTTGGCAGCAAGGTTCATGGGAAATTCTGAGTCCTGACCTATCAATTTCTAGGTTAGGAAGAAGTAAAGACAAAGCTAGGGGTAGGGCTGTGCATCTGCAATCACAGCACTCCAGGAGGCTGAGGCAGGA